TATATTTATTACACGACTCGGGCAGTCAGAGGGCCAATAACTAAAATCAACCAATCAAAATGCTCTATTGCCGGTCCAATATTCTCTAAGTATTGGACCGGGCACTGTCCCGAATGGTCCCGAATGATACCGCACTTGTGTCCCTTTGAACTTCAGTCGTATAATAAATCTCTTATTAACCAAGCTTGCTTGGGACCGTACTGGAAGAATATCGGCCCTCGGTCTTTTTTGTACAGACCTCACTGCGCTCGGTCCATACTGTCAAGACCCCGGGCCGATATTTTCCCAGTACGGCCCTCGCGCTTGGTTATTAAAATATATGTACCACTCAAGCAAGCAAAATAAGTGAACAGTCTATTATTGGCACTTGGACCAAACTTGTTAATTTTAATTTGTCAGCTTTTTCGAACAAAGGTACGTGGCTGATGACCGTATCCATGGAAGCGGTTCTTATGGCAAAATACCAACCATGGCAAGCCAGAAACAAATAGAATGCTCATACTAACCTCAGGACTGCCTTGGCACATGATAATATTGTGATAATAAAACGTTAATCACCCATCTACGATAAGCAAACAAAATGTTTTTCCCAGACAGAGAGTTCGTCTTCAGACCACATTACACAGTGAATATCACTCTCATAATATCACCGGATTTGTCCTCATAGAGTGAGCAAGTACTTTTAGAAGATTAAAAACGACCAAGTACTAGCAAGTGGTAAGCTTGCATGAGAAATTAGTTTGTAAGAGTACTTATCATCAATGAGTCGAAAAATCATGATTAGTTCCTCTTATTTAGATTTACTTTCACACGGCGCTTGTGGAGAAATAGATCACCACGCACTGGTAATGCTGCTTTCTGAAAACACATATCCCATTAAGAATCTCTCAATGTCACTCTTATGAGGCTTAAATACGAATTTGTTTAGCTTACCTCATTTAAGAACTTCTCAAACTCGGCGTCTAAATCAATATTCTTTGTCTTGAATTGATCTCGCAATTTATTCCAGCGGTCTGACATCTTTCCTTACTATATTTATTTGTCTTTCCGTTGTCTGATGTGGAAGTGTATTAGATAAGATTTGGCTCTAAAAGATAGGAAAAGCCAGGAGTTGAAAGGCAAAAGATTCTGCCGCCATATTTTTAAAGTTTCAAGTCAACACAGCTTTGTAACCGAGCTTAAGTGGCCGTGGAAAGACTAGGTGTACGTGTTGTGGTGATTCAAAAGAGCCTGGCAGTAGGCCTTGTAAGAGCTGGGAGGAGCTCAAGTGCGAACATTTGGGCAATTTTACTTCTGTGGTTTGGGAGAACCTCTGGGCCTCGCGGAGTCAGCATATCTCCTTCCTGTAAAAACTAACCTCTTTCTTTCAGGACAGAACCTACCGTAAACTGTTGCTAATATGCCTTTTCATTACCTTGGAAGTTAAGAAATAGAAAACCTTAACTAAGGAGGAGAAAAAGAAAAAAAGAAACTCATGCCTTTACAAAATTGACCAAATCATAAAAAAGGCTTAAGTTTATGTTGTTATGCAGTAATGTCCATTACCGGCCGAGCAGATTCTTAAGAATCATGCTCGAAAGGCGAATAAAAGATGCAGATATTCGTCAATTTACCCTGATTAATGTCTGTCACATGAAAGTCGTTTAAACTCAAAATAATCCTGTGTGATGACATCCCCAAATTGTCCTTCCCATAGCTCTTTCTGTTGATCACGAAGCCACACATGTATAGAAAATTGCTTTCGTAACTTATATAGCAGATGAATAAATGAAATTCTGTCAACGAGAAAGAAGACGAAAATTATATTTTTCACTTATTTAAAGAAATAAAAAAAAAACCAATCCATTGGACATGTACCAAAACCATATCAGAAAAATACAAGAGTAGCCAAAAAGGATAAATGCTCAGAAGAAAAGAAAGGAAGAGGAAAAAAGAAAATAAAAATTACGATAATGAGGGGACAGCAAAAAAAGACAGCAAAAAACAAAATTTTATTGGGAGGAAGTACTCAGTGCGCAACCATTGACTACCAAACAGACCCTAGGAATTTATGCTTTCATGGCGAATAAAAGACGAAGTGCTTTTTTTTTATTTGTTTGTTTTATTTTCAAGGACAAATGTGGTTCACCTGAACGTCTTTTAAAGTCAAACTAAGCCTGACGCACAATAGAGTTTCTATAATGAAGGAACCATACTTCAGTCACAGAATTTTGTTAAACTTGAGTTTTACGTTTTTATCTTGTACTGAAATATCAGTGACTTGATGACCATCTAGCATAATCCACCATGGACAGACCAGAACCAAAATAAACCTTGCGATCATCGTGCTATCAGTCTACAAAGTATTCAACAAATTGAAGATAACTGAACCCCCACTTTCACCAACACTGGGGTGAATAATTGCTTTCACATATACCACAGCAACCAAAATATTAGTTTATTTAAGACAGTGTATCGATTAACTGAGAAGCACGATTTTGTCTCTCCCGTTGCTCGGAGGTTATCCGAATTAGTCAATCAGCGCGAGCGAAAAGCACTATTCACCGGTGTCAGGCTAAGAGAAAATAAACTACAGCCGTTTATAATCTCTTACCTGTGTGGCACATACTAAGAAGCGATATTCGGTAGAAAGTTGCTCTAATCTACTTCCGTGGTCTCTATGGCTCAGTGTATGTGCCTAGCGAAGCTTACCGTGTGCACCTGTGACCCATTAAAGACATTGAATAGAAATGCTGAATTGTGCATGAAAACTAAGTAATGTCGCAAACAGTCCATTAGTTTCAGAGGGATTATTAGTTGAAAGGTACCGGTAATTTCAGCTTTTTTTTCATTTCTGACGCAATTAATGGCGGTTGGGTCCAAATGGAGAAATTTTGGATTGCAGTTCAAAATTTAGTTAATCCCTGTTTAAAGTCGTGTTGATTTACATTAGTCTGTGACTGGTCTAGTTAATCCGAACAACTTAAGACAAGAAAACAACATAAAAACAATCGTGTCTTTGCTTTTCTTCGCTTTGACTTCTGAAAAGCTCCTTTGCTAATAGTTTTCTTTCTTCGATTGGAGCACTGAGAATATTTTCATTAAATTTTTGAGAGACTAATAGAGATGTGCTCTTTTAATAAATTCGAAATCGGAAATCATTAAAAGTATTGTTATAGATATTCCTTAAAGTCGCAAGCTTTAGAAATAACATATTAGAATATTAGTCACATTTCTGTCGCATAGTCTTATCAACTGCTCTTCAGAAAAATTTTGATATACAAGACACTTCTTGCTGGACGATCAATCTTTCAGATATGTCGTAGTCAGATTGGCGATAAAAGCCTAGTTTGTCTCCGATTTCCACTGAATCGTTTATTGCCAGAAAAAGCCATGACGTTTCGGTTGGTGATTTCTTGTTTAATCAAATGTTAGTAATGTCACCATGAACGATATTCAGCCTTTTCTTTCACTGAAAATTTTCTTAAAAAACAGGATGCAACAAATCCCTTACAAATTAGAAGTTATGAATTTCGTGCAACCTCTTTACATAACGATAATGGCGATTTTAAAACCAGCCGGTTCCCAACTGCGTTCATATGTTCGTTGTGAGGTTCACAGAGGTGTAGACACAAACGAATAACAAAAGGAAAAAATGATTCTATAAAATTGCGTTTTATTTTCCTCGGAAAAATTTCATTTAATCTTTCCAATGAATCGTCGAAAGGTTTTATTCAATTATGCAGAGTTTTTCAAAACTGTGTGAAAATTTTGCAAATGCAAAGGTACATATAGAGAACTTTATTAAAAACAAGAATTAGTGCAGTCCTTCAGATAGTACTGCATTTAGTGCATTGTTGAATATTAAAGATTAGCACAAACTATTGAATCACTTGTTAATTGCTACATCGAAAAAACAAAGGATTGCTCTTTCTGGTTTCACAAATCAGAGCGGCGAATCAAAGCACAGTTGCTTTCCAAATCTGGCCTTGTATACAGTAAAAACGGCAAGTGAAAAACCATACCACTGCACTTGCGGGTTAGAACTCATCCAATGTCGTGAAACTTTGATGAGCAACATTGCTGGTGAGTGCAAAATGAAGAAAGCCGGAGCAACTGTCGGTTCAAAATTCAGGGAGTATTTACCATAACTGGTGGGGAGGTTTTAAGTCAGCAGTGGTAAAATAAAATAACAACTAAACAAGTTAAGTTGATTTAAAATATTTATAGCTTAGAGAATGATATTGCCAAGTAAAAAGTGGTAGTATATTGATCTCAGTTTCTGGTAAATGATTTAACGAAAAGTAGAGCATCGTTTTGTTATTGACTCTTGGGCCAGTTCATTTTAGATTTCAAATTTCTCATAGTCAGTCAAGTTTAAACAATTCCATTACGCTTCATATCTTTGTCGCTAAAAATCCAAGAGTTATTCCAGCAAAGTGTAGATTACAGTAACATATTGATTCGAGAAGAAACTAGCTACAGACATGTTATTCAGTGAAATATTTCGAAAAATTCAAAGATTAATGCTATCAATAATAAAATTGGAGCCAACATTTGAAATTAACGTTAACTTTTCCTCTAATTTTCAAAAGCACTTTATTATCACACTGTGAACTTGAATACAACGAGATTAATTTCCAGTTTGGGAGGAGATTTGGCTATTTCTTTGCTTTGTAGAACTCTCGAAGAAGAGCGAAATCTCCTGCATACTTTTAAAAAAATCTTTTAAAAAGTAAGATCTAAAGATATCTATTTCACTCAGGAAATTGGGGCAGTTAGCTAAAATATAACAACTTAATTATGGCCTAAGTTTAGTGGTCCCTTGCTAGCAACCCGATCCTAGTCTTTTGGCTCTTTTTTTGTCCGGAATTTTCCGCCATTTTCGATTCAGAATGTCGCACCTTCGTCAGGTAACACGTATATGGAGTCTTTTCATCGTGATGTGTGTATTTTCGTTCTGTCTTCAATTATAATCCCCGTAATCATTATTAAAAAATTCCTTCTTTCCATCTTTTCAATGTTGATAACGGAAAATTTGGACCCCCTAAATATAAGTCCACAGGGCAGAGAACAGGAGTGTTTCGATAAAACTTGAAGTGGTTTGCAATATCTTAAGCTTCTCTAGCGCTGAACGACTGGGCCTGTTGCAGTTGGCAACTTTGGACAGGTGCGAAGTGAACGCTGGCATTAATGCTTTCATATTTATTCCTACACAGGTTTTCGGAATACTCCACGTTAGCATCCGAGAACAGTTAAATGGAAGAAATCAGCTACTGAAAATACATCATCCACGCGCTGATATCCACATGAAAATTATGAACGTCTCCAACGAATCAACACCTTCATTTAGCCCTCAACCCCCACCTGGAATAACCACGTTCACACGGACAACATACTCTATTTTGTCTGTCGTCGCTATGATAGGAAACATCTTGGTTATTCTCGTCTTTGTCGGGAACAAGGATCTACTCAAAAAATCGTACAACATATTAATTCTGTCCTTAGCCATATCTGATATTCTCACCGCTCTGCTGCTTATCACAAACCCAGCTTTTGTCCTTGGTGACGCGTTTCCTTATCCAACTAATCACGTCATTGGCGACATCTTCTGCCGTGTACTGTGGAGTCGTGCGATTCTGTTCCAGCTGGTAGTCTTCTCCGCGTACATTTGTTTGGCTTTGGCGACAGAGCGGTGGTATGCAGTGGTCAAGCCCTACAAGTACAACGAGGTCTTTAGCAAGAAGCGAACGCTCGTTTACATCTCTCTTGTGTGGCTCTGGTCATTTCTCCTCTGTGGCACATCTCTGTTCGAAGTTGCGTACGTTCCCACAGAGCCACTGAATCGCCGCTGCAAATGGGAATTGTTCTTGGGTGAACAGCCAGTACGCACTATTGGTGCAATCATTCAAGTCCTGTTCAAAATGGTGCTTCCCAGCCTGACTATGTCGTGTCTGTTTTTCCACATGGTTTACAAGGCAGGCAGGTCTACGGTCGTCTCAGCTGAGAGCAAGGCTCAATTGCGCGGAAAAATGACGCGAATGGTCGGCGCCGCCTGCCTGATGCTCATTATTTGTTACGCGCCAAACCAGATCAACTACGCTCTGGCAATGGCGGGAAAAACGCGACTTGATAGCGAGCTGCACCATGGTCTCTCTATTTTGGTATTTGTCAACAGCTGTGTGAACCCATTCATTTATGGGTTTAGCAACAGGAATTACCGCAACGGCTACCTCAGAATCGTGTTCTCAGCCTGCTTTAAAATCAGTGGTAGAAGAATCAGTAACAGAGTAACAGATGGAAGCTACTGTGTTGTCATCACAGTAGAGTCTGTGGTGGAAAGTGCTCGGGAAAATTCAGCTCAAAGAGAAGAACACTCATCTAGAGAGTAAAGTCAAATAAATTCAAGTTATCAAATTGAGAATCAAATTCCTCGCATGCGTAGCGACCGGTAACGTTTTTCAAGCTTAGTTGTCTTCTATCAAAGTCTGAACGCGGGGGTCTGCTCATGATTATTCCCAGTGGTAACTGGTTTGAACCAAAATTGTTAGGAAAGTGTTCTATAGGGACACTTAAAGCGCTTTAAATAAGTGACCGGTTGTGGTTGAGACAGTTGATCCCAGTAGATCACGACCTTGATTACGTTACCGCCATTTTTTTCAAGCTTTACCGTTCCTACGTGATAGAAAGCCGTTTCACGTTTGCCATATACGTAATTGCATGGCTTGGTTTAGTCTAATGAAGACTTAACCATAAAAACTTGCTTGAGGGAAATAAAATGAAAATTATCAAAAATGTGTTGTCGTGATTTCTAAAGAAACATGTTTCCTTTGAACTTTTCTTGGACCAATGAAAGAGCGGGAATCAGTTTTCTGCCCCGCCATCCCTGCTTAAACCTATCTTATCATTCAAAACGTTTCTACATCCCGCCAGAGAAAATTTCTTCAGTTTGGTGGAACAAATTTCAAGCGATTATTTTCTTGCTTCACTGTATTGTAGTCACGGCGCCTCACCTTCGTTTGCCTTCACGCCTTTTGTACATTGTTTTCCGTTTTCAGTTGTTCCGTGTATATTTGTTATTTTTGGTTACGTCACATTTCATATTTTCGTGTTCATTTTTTATACATTGTTTCTATTGTTCGGTATTGCTTCTTATGCCGTAGTTTTCTTGTCGCCGTCGTAGTCGCCACATAATCTTGTAAGTTTCGCTATTTTGTCTGTTATTTTGCTTGTTTTATTTGTATTTCGTTTTGCTTTCCTGTTCTGTATATTTAGCTCGTTTATGTACATTTACCTATAGCGAATCGTTAGTAAAAGTGCGAATCTCTTTGGTTTGTGGATTTCGACTACATGTATCTCGGCTGTGATGAATACCGTTGCAAAAAGTTAAGTTGATAACTGAGGCATTATTTCCAATGATGTTTACTTTAAAGGAATGCAAAACGCAGTTATTTTCTGCAGCATTTGCGCGAGCTGAGCTCGCTGTACAGTACTTACACCGCCACCGCATCTTCCGGTCACGGTACGATCGCTTCTGACGACGCCAAATCCCAGTAGGTATATATATTTCTGAATCATCGATGGAACTATCAAGCTTGGTCTCGTTGATCGCTTAGACAGTGGAACCTTGATTTTACTGACGAGGTGCCGAGGGACTAGGGAAATTGTTTCGTTATATCGAAAGCGTCGATTTAACGAATTTGCGGAAAAACAAGCAAAATGTCTGTTAAATCGAGGTATGGTTAATAATTGTTGTTATTGTTTTTGTGTTTGAAATGTTTTGAAATTGTGCCGACAAACACAAAAATTGTGATGTCACAATTGTTTTTACATACCCTCATCTGAACTCGCCAGTAGACTAATGAAAACGTACCCACAATTCTAAGCAGTGTCCATGCGAAAGGATAAATTTTTGCTTAGAAGTATAGCGACCTGGACGGCGAAGAAGTCCACAAAATTTTATGTTCCTGTTGAGAAAGACAAGGATGACTGATCAAAATATATAGAAATGAGCTTGAAGGCGCCTTTGATATGGTTTTTAACTCCCTTTTCTTCTAGTCTTCCTCCTGTCTCACCAGTTATAACTTGTTTTGCAAGGTGCAAGCATGGTGAGTTATGTAGTGAAGGTAAAAGAAACGAGATCAGTGGTTTTAATTAAGCGTTTATTACTTGAAACTTTTACAGCCTTTTCACTGAGTGGAAAAGGTGTCCTAATCATCCACGCAAGCCCTTAAAAGAAACGTCTGGTTGTAGGTTAATCATTTTCAGGATGACTTTTGACAGAAAAATAACCAATATCCTTGTTTCGTTTGAAGGTAACAATTGGTAGTTTTAAAACAAACTATAGCATAATGAGATGTAATTTGCACGACGAAAATTGGTTTCAGGACTTCCCTGGCGAAAATGAAACTTGCAATGACTAAGTTCGAGAAACCACAAGCAAAAGCTATGAGGAGGTCTGGAAAGTTGGCTTTTCAATTGCCTCACTGATGGGACTCCATGGACTGAATTGTTTCCCAGCATTGGTAATTTCCATGTTTGAAATGAAGTTTACTGTGCGTAGGTTGAAAATTAGGCGTTTAAATAGACGTTGCTAAAGTATTGCAGAAAATTTTCTCTTGATGAATTTGATCCAGCTTAACAGTTCCATTCACCCATGTTTTGAACGCTTCAGCCGCACATTGTAGCCTGCGGTAATGACATATGGCAATCTGCGGTCTTTCCTTGCACTTAGGTGGCACGGAAAGCCGTAAAAATCTTGAAGAAAAGCTCATCTTTCAAACCGGCAGTCTAAATCCAACAGGGATCAACGAA